TAATAGTTTCTTTTCTTGCACTTCTCGCCTGTGGAACTCTTCCGGTATCTTGATTTCCTGCCACCCATGGCCTTCAAAAACTTAAATGCAACATCAATCGCCATCTACTGTTTTCCTGAATCTTGTTCTTTTATTGTCTTTTCCCCTCACTAAAGTCAAAGAAACAAACAAATTTCTGTTTGAAAAGATTCAATTATATATAAAGATGAGAAAATAGATAGTATTACAAAGGATGCTGTATATTCAAGCTATACATCAACCTTTAGTCGATAAAGGTGACCATGATCGTTGGCTGAGAGTCGAGGGACGTGATGGCTGATCACCGTTTTGGCAGATGACAGGGGAATGAAAAATAAAAAAAAGGCAACACAAGATGGGAAAAGACGCATTGGCCATGTGTACTGCCAATGCACAAATAAAAAGAGCCAACATTGTCTGCGTCTATAAAAACAGGAACGTTTGTTGGCTGTTAGTCAAGGGTTCACGGCTATCGTGCCATTCGATGAGCTTGACTGACGGGGTAATTTATGTCGTTCAAGATGGGTACAATATAGCGAAAGTATGCTTCCGTTGAAACGCTAAAGAATTATGTGGAGTGGAATATATAAACTGGTTGGGAATTCGCAGAAACCGAACTGGAATTTGATAATGATTTTATGTATTGGTTTAAAGTTTGTTTATCATGTTGATCTCTTATCTGCAAAATGGTAATCATTGGACTTGACTTTCAATCGAACGTTTTTGTTTTAATCACATTTTGTTACTTCGATTTGCATAAAGATCTAGAACTGAAATAAATAATCAGTAGCACTGTTCCATAATAATTGTTTCATTTACTGTATGAAATGCGTATACAAATATAACATTTATTATGGGACAGAGAGTGTAAACGTATTATCTTTGTCCCATAATAGCTGATATTTTTATTGTATTAAATGCGTATTCAAATATAACAATATGGGACAGAGAGTGTAAATGTATTATTTTTGTTCTATAATAGCTGATATTTTTATTGTATTAAATGCGTATTCAAATATAGCAATTAATATAGGACAGAGAGTGTAAATGTATTATCTTTATCCCATAATAGCTGATATCTTTATTTTATTAAATGCGTATTCAAATATAACAATTAATATGGGACAGAGAGTGTAAACATGTTATCTTTGTCCCATAATAGCTGATATTGCATTAAATGCGTATTCAAATATAACAATGTGGGACAGAGAGTGTAAAGATATCTTTGTCCCATAATAGCTGATACAGTTAGTGTACTGAATGAGTATTCAAATATAACAATAATTATGGGACAGAGAGGATAAAAATATTTTCTTTGTTCTATAATAGTTGTTATATTTACTGTATGAAATGTGGATGCAAATGTAATAATCATTATGGGGCAGTGAAAGCAAATGTGCTAACCAAGTGCCCACAGAAATACAGACAGAAATCATATATATATATATATATATATATATATATATATATATATATATAGATTTTAAAATAGATACATACTACGTTAGTAAAATAAAAATAATCCAGTTTTTGTCGTCCTATTGTATTTGGAGCGTTTGATAAAAAAAAATGATCCCATTTTTTAATTTTTTATTGTACTGTGGCAGTTTTCTTATTAGCTTACAAGGATAAAAATTGTTGAATTTTTTATTCATTCTAGGATTGAAGTTGGGAAAATAAGTAACATTTCCGCATATTATATTTTTTTTATTATGAGGAAAGAAGAAATGCGACTCAAGTGTAACATATGAGCATTTTATGGAGAAGGTTCTGAAATTGATCGAACAGGTCAAAAATGGTTTGTGAAGTTCTGTGCTGGATATTTCTCGTTGAAAGATACTCCAAAGTCGGGTTATTGACAGCGAAAAATTCAGGATATTACTTGGAGAATTATGAACTTTATATGACACAGGAGAAAGCCAACATACTAAAAATACATAACTCAAACACCGGAAACTATTTGCGAGAATCTGGTTATGGTAGTCGTTTTGATGTGTGGCTTCGACATAAGATATGTTTAACTGGAAAGAAACAATGCAATTATTACTAAGAGGAGTTGAAATTGATGAATGCAAAATTCCACAGCTCAAGCATCACTCCTTCAGCCTATGAAGTTTTCAGCCCACCCACGTACATTCGGGAATTTAGAAAATGACAAAAATGAAGACAACTGTCCGGATAGGGAATGATGGAATACTTTATATTCAGAAGTTAAGAAAATAACAAAAATGGAGGCAATCATCCCAGTATAGAACAATAAAAGGTTTTATATTCTGAACTTCTGAAAATAACAAAAACATATAATTTGAATACATAAAATCAAGTAAAAGTCTCATTACAAAACTTCACTTAGTAAAATTATTGTTTGAACTTGTGCTGTTTAAATCATATTTTGCAGTTGTATGTTTGCACATGCGCCTCGTGTGTTTATATGCAGTTTATAACTGATGACGGATCACTAGAACAAGTAGCTGAATCAATT